TTCCAGACATCCCAGTTTCTCCCATATGAGTCTGGGTCTGCAGAGACTCGCCTGGAACTGGAGCTCAGAGACTGAGACTCCCTCCTGATTAAAAATGACAACCACTCCCTCAGCCACCAGCCAGCTCCGCGTGCGCCTCTGTACCTTAGTATTTTACTTCTGCACTGGGCCTCCTCTGAGTCTTGGTATGCTTTTCTCTTTCCTTCTAGTTGTAGAATTTTCACTCAGCCAGCCTTCCTGTGGTTCTGGATGATGTCTGTTCCATCTTTTAGTTGTATTTTTGAAGTGATTGTTCAAGGCAGCAAACTCCGGTGTTTACCTATGCCGCCATCTTGGTTTCTCTCCTCAAAAAATACTTTAGAATTAGAAATTCCATCCCTATGTCCTTACTTTTCCAATTGCCCTATCAACAAATTGTGTTGTCATGCGCTATGGTTTTGAATAGTTGGCTCCTACATATTAATGGGGGTATTTTGTTTTCAGATAGATGATGAAATAAAGGTGTCCAATACTCAGAAACACCACAGACTAGTTAGAAGTAATTCCTTGTCCTTTTGCTGTGGTTCATGTTAGATATTTGATATGAGGACCATGGTTCTGTGAAGGAATAAGGACAAGTAATTGTATAACTTACAGCTCAGGGAGCATTTGCAAAGGTGGTATCTCATGGAATCCTGTCCAAATCCCATACCCCCTATTACCTACTGAGGAGAGGAGAGGAAGACACTTGCCTAAGGTCACAGAGTGGGTGTTTCTCCAGCCCCCTAGCCCAGTGCTATTTCTCCCCCACACAGAGTCCTTCAAAGCAAATTTTCTGCCTGGCCTAGCAAAGTACATGAGAGAGTATGAAGGAATGGCCCCCTTGGTCCTGATGTAGGAGTGGGTCACATTTTATGTAGCTTCAGTTGTATAGTAATGAAAGCAGCATCTTCTCTTCCTGGTGCACATGTGTCCCCTTGTCTGTCCATCATTGGGGGAGGTGGGTACAGATGTGCATGGGTAGAATGATGAAACAGATGTGTCGAGGTTTACCAAGCATGCACAGCTGGTTCATCTCTTTCAGGTTCCCTAAAAGCTAGTTCAGCTTCTTCCCACAATTAAGTGATAACAAACATAAGGTGCAGTCAGCATTCTGTGTTTCCTTTCCAAAAGTTTCACACCACTTTCAACACTCTGTGTCCTCATATCTTGCATGAGAAGCCCATTTTTATTTACCCCAAAGCTCTGTAGTCTCCAGGGTAGCTGAGGTGCAGGATACCTGGTTGGGTATCTGAAGGGTATGGGGAGTGGACTCTGAGAACAGAGGAGGGAATTTGTGGTGGGCAGAGCGCTGCCCCTCACTACCTTATTTGGAATCTCAGTGATCCATTAAGAGGAAGTATGGTGGGGCCCTCAGCATGAGAGCTTGATTTTTAGGTCGCGACAGGATGGTTCTCCTTTTAAAGGGTAGGAAATGAGTTCAGAGTGAGTGAGTCATTTTCCAATGTCCACTCTTGTGATTGACAAGATTCCAGAAAACCTAAGTCCCCAGTGGTCCATCTAAACAACACATATTTATTTCTAAGTGTCAAGAGAAACAGGTAGAGTTATGAAAAGAACATCAGCTTTGGCTGTGGACAGATGAGAGTTCAAATCCTGTGCCATCCTTTCCTAACTTCTTAATCTTGATTCTTGGTTTGCCTGTAACACTAAGATGATAATCCCTGCCTGTCCTAATTTATAGAGTTATTTTAGGAACTAAGTACCCAAAATTCTGCATAAACTATAATCTAATAATAGAGGAATTTGCAAATTGGCCGGGATGCTGTTACATAATGACCAATCAGGACAGGGGCAGGGCCACAGTGAAGAGCTCTCAGCATGGCTGTGCTGAGGTCCAAAGTACACAGAGAGAAAGGAGAGCAGATAGGCAGTTAGGGGGAATCAGGCCAGGAGGGGAGAGCAGATAGGCAGGGGGACCCTGCCAGGAGGGGAGAGCAGATAGGCAGTTAGGGGGATCAGACCAGCAGGAGAGAGCAATTAGGAAAATCAGGCCGGCAAGGGAGGGAAGTTAGGGTGAACAGGCTGGCAGGGGGGAGCAGTTAGGCAGTTAATGTGATCAGGCCAGGAGGGGAGAGCAGTTAGGGCCATCAGGCCGGCAGGCAGGTGAGCAGGTAGGAGCCAGTGGTTGCAGATTGCAAGAGGGTTCCCAGATTGGAGAGGGTGCAGGCTGGGCTAAGGGACCTGCCATGCACCGGGCCTCTAATATATTTGCCTAAGTGACCATTACAGTGGAACAACCAGAATGACTGGTCAATATGATATGCACTGAGCAGGCAGGCAGGCGAGCGGCTAGGGGCGAGCAGGCAGGTGAGCAGTTAGGGGCGAGCAGGCAGGCAGGCAGGCAGGCGAGCAGTTAGGTGCAAGCGGTCCTGGATTGCAAGAGAGCATGGACCGGGCTGAGGGACCCCACCTCCCCTTCCCCTCCCCGCTTCCTCCCATTAATGAATTTCGTGCACCAGGCCTCTAGTATATTTTATAAGTGGAAAGGAAAGTTTCATTATTCCTTTTGGAAGCAATATTTTTTATCCTTAAGGATATGTACTCCAAACTTACTGTCAGTTTTTAAAGATATTTGTGATGTGATCTTGAAAACAAGAACAGTTACCTCTTGTATTTAATCCAAAAAAAAAAATAGAAGATGGAAGATAAAAATAGAAGATTCAATTTTTCCCCATTTTGGCATAAGTGAACAAGTCATGATTTTAGTTTTGGACTTACATGTTGACTTTCCCCTCTGCTTCCATTATAGGAAATTGATGGAAAATCCCTGCTATTGATGACAAGAAATGATGTGCTGACAGGACTTCAGTTAAAGTTGGGGCCTGCTCTGAAAATCTATGAGTATCATGTAAAACCTCTGCAGTCAAAGCATTTAAAGAACAACTCTTCATAGTACAGTCAAATTGGGGTCTCAGACCTCAAAAATACATAATGACATAATTTAGTTTCATGTGATGAAACTTTGTAAACAGAATACATACATGTGTATATGTAAAGAATTTCAACCAAATGAAACGTTATCCTATTGGATAGACTAGGCAATCCATCAGCTGACCTGAATTCAGCTAGGAGGAGCAAGGAGAACAGGTGGATAGGATGGTTTTCCTTGTGGAGTTTGTCAAAGAGAGTACAAAGAAATCAATGTTTGACATGAGTAGATACCCTTCCCCAGAAAAGCTTTGAGGTCATAAGGACATTATTCGTTTCTTCATAGATGGCTTTCCCAAAATTCTTTTAAAAATTCAATGGGATGAGCATGTTTTGATTACAGACTTGGGGAGGGGGAGAAAGAGAAAGAGATTGCTGTCTCCCTTGACTTCCTCTGCTCCTTAGAGCTTGTGTTACTGGGATGGAATTGCTGACACCCTTTTTTACAGAGGGTCCTACACTTGACCTTATTAAGGTTTCACTGGAATATGCTGCGATTTTTGAAATGAACATGCATCTTGGCCCCTTTAGAAGCAGAACCATAGCTCTGAAAAGAAAAACTCTGTTGTGTATTGGGGATATCCATCCATATTCAGCTGGCTTTCACAGGGGGTAATGGTATTTTCTACATAGAATTGCTTTTAAATTGGTTGTTTCAAAAAAAAAGCATTATTTCACTTTATGGTTGTATTTATAATAATTTGTTTCTGAAGAAATTTGCCAAGAGTTACAGATCAAAAAGCCTTGTTACCAGTACAGAATATTTTTATATACATTCCTTCATGATGGTGTGATATTTTTAAAATTGCTCTGATGCTTTGTTTGATTCCTGGTTTGAGTACTTGTTTTTAAGAACTTGAAAAGGTGGGGTTGCTACATCTCTGTTCAAAGAGACATTTGTTCAATCTCTGTGTGTTGATACCTTGTTGGATTGTGTTTTGTGGTTGCAATAAAGCATTGCTTCAGTTTATTCCTGGTGTATGTTTGATCTTTTTTGCAATTGGGATTAAGGATTAAGGCTACTTCTTAAAACCATGGAAAGTTAAACCTTAAAAAAAACACTTCAGACATAAGAAACATGAGATTTATATGTGGATTTATCTTCTTTACAAATGGAATTGTCCAAGGATGCCTTGTTCATTCTCTTATCCCACCCAACAATATATTTTAGGTGTTCTGTTAGCCAAAGATTTTATTTAATTTTTTTTGCTGTAGGTCAGTGGCACGGGGTTGGGGGAGGTCGTGATTTTGGAGGGAACTTCTGATGTAAACTATGAAACTTCTTCCAGACAAAAGCTCATATTCCCATATACAAAACTTTTCAGAGTGGTTGGACTCCCTGAAGTTCCCTCTTCCTTCTTCTCAAGTTAAGAATCACTGTTTTATTGAGTGTTATAACTCAGTCCCCTGTGGAGGTCATTTCTCTAACGAATACAAAGTCTGAAGATGAGAGTGAAAAAACACAGGAATCAGTATAGTGAGTGGGGTTCAACGGTACATTCCAAATTAATTGGAATGTGGAGTTTATGAAGTATCTGAAATTTAAGTAGTGCTTTGTTTTGCGCTGTAAGTAGGAGAGGGGGTCACAAAGGAGACATTTTCTATCCCCAAGTTCTCACAGTCTACCTGAGACAGAAAACAGAAACATATGAGAGTAAAAGGCAGAATATTGTTAAGGACTGTGAGAGAGACTGATAAGAGGGGAGCGCTACATAAAAGGTGGGGAAGAAGAGACAGGAGCTCATGCAGGAGGGAACTGGAATGAAGAACTTCACTAACCTTTCTGAAGGAGTTTCCCACAAGTGAAACAGTGATGAGGATTGAACCCTCTACCTCAAAGGGATAGTTTGAGGAATGTCCAGGCCCTGCTTCCATGCATCCACCTGGTACCTCCTGTATTAGCTTGGAATAGGGTTTGGCTATGAATGATCAAAATCACCTCCCCAGCCCGGCTCATGTGGCTCAGAGGTTGAATGTCGACCTATGAACCAGGAGGTCTTGGTTTCATTCCTGGTCAATCCACATGCCTGGGTTGCGTGCTCAATTCCCAGTAGGGGTGCCTGCAGGAGGCAGCCGATCAATTGAAGTATAGTAACCTCCACCTTGGGTAAAAACTGCTGTTTAAAATTTTAATGCTGCTATTCTGGCTTCTGTAAACATTTGCTTGCTTAATAGGGAAAATAAGTCTACTCCCCATCCAGAGAGGCCATAAAATATGCCCCAGACAGAGTTGTCAGTGCTGGTTCCAGGCCAGGACTTGAGATATGGTCTCACAGCCCTGTCCCAGCAACAGGACTTTTTCTCAGAAGGTCCGGAAGTCTCATTCCAAATTTGGAAAACAAAGAGCTGAAAAACATATAAATTGAAAAGACTTCCACCATAACGGCCCCCAGAATTTGAGAAGCAACAGTTCCTCTGGGCCCGCTAGCACTAGTGAAAATGAATAGTACTCCAAATAAATTTGGCTTATTGATTAAGGCATCTTCTGATTTACAATATAGCACAATGATTCCCATCACTGATGTTTCTATCTCCCTCTCCCTCTCCCTTCCTCTCTGAAATCAGTAAAAAATGTATTTTAAAAAAACACCTGCCTCCCTTGCTCTTACCCCACCTCCACAGATAATGTAAGCAAGACAGAAGCTTATAAATGTCTAGAATCAGGCATTCCCTGGTATGGTCCCCCATAATGTTAGGGACACAGACTCCACCTTTCTTTTGCCCTATTATGCATGATACTCATTCCTAGAATTTCATAGCCCAAGATGGCTGCTTTGGCTCTTGCCATCACCACTTGAATTCCAACCAGTGGGAAGAGGTAAAAGGAGAAAGGTGCATACTTCCTTCCTTCCAAGAAATTACTCATAATACTTCCTCTTATATCTTGCTGTCCAGAATTCAGTCACATTGCCATAACTAAGCTGCAAGGGAAGCGGAAATATTTTTTTTTTCCTTAGAAACCCTAGGCCCAATTAAAATTCAAAAGTCCCATTATTCTACAGATAAAAGAGAAAGAATATTGAGGGATGACTTACTGTCACCAGTCAGCTGGCCATGGAACACGGGATATGACACTGAAAGTGTGTCCTTAGCTGTATTTTTCTCTAGATTTGAACTTGGGCTCACACTCCTTTTAGTCTGTTTTTATAGCAGTCACCTTTCACCACTATTGGAAGCTTTGTTCACTAAGCCCAACCTAATTCAACTAAGCTTCGGACCTGGACTGCTTTTTAAATGCTTGTCAGAAGGAAAAGGGTGGGGGGACGGTGGGGGTAAATTAACCAAAAAGCAAACTATTGTCCATCTTCCTCTTCAGACACGCCGACCCCTGGCTTCAGCCATAACATTCTGTGTCTGGGTGTGGGCGCGGAGACCCCAGTGTCCTGCTGTCCAGGACTGCGTTTCTGCACTAAGTTTTCTTTCAAACTTATTAACCAACCAGCTAGACCAGGGGTGGGCAAACTTTTTGACTCGAGGGCCACAATGGGTTCTTAAACTGGACCGGAGGGCCGGAACAAAAGCATGGATGGAGTGTTTGTGTGAACTAATATAAATTCAAAGTAAACATCATTACATAAAAGGATATGGTTTTTTTGTTGTTGTTGTTGTTGTTTTTGTTTTTGTTTTTTTTGTTTTTTTTTCTTTATTTTTTAAGATATTACATATCGGATGCAGACTGCAGGCTGTAGTTTGGCCATGGCTGAGCTAGACTGTCTGCCTCGTCTTTGGTCTCTCTGCTCCTTTGGCGTTTGGGGGCCACTTGACATTCACAGCCCTCTCTTGAAGCAAGAGTATTATCACCATCAATGTTGAAGACAGCTTGATAAAGTGCATATTTTTAGAGAGAAAATTGTGAACCTTGATGTCAGCTAGGAAATAAGGATTCTGAGGTCAGGAGATGGCAGTGGGGTGTTTTGCAGAGAAATGCTGATGTAGAAGGATTGGTCCATGTGGGATTGCATGAAAAATGACTCCCAGTGGGGCCTCAAAACAATGCCTTACATTCTGTCTGGGAAATGTAGGGTGCAGGATTCTCATCCCCTAACACCGATAAATGGTGGAGAGCAGCGGAGTCAGAATGCAGGCCTCAGAACAAGCTGAATGGGATGCAGGGTTTGGTACGTGGCCTCTCTGTTTACTTGTCACCTGAGACAGGCATTAGGAGTTCATTCGTCTCCACACATTACCATTCTAGCTTTGTATTAGCTCCTTGGCCCTCTCGTTTTCCCTTAACACCACCACAGCATTCGCCACACCTACAATAAATTAGCACTTAACCAATAATTGTTTTTTTTTAAAAAAAGAAAGAAAAACAAACCAAAAAGAATCAAATCATTCCCCTCAGCCTCCATTGACAACTTTCAAGCAATATTGGCAAATTAAAGACAGTCCGCCTTTCCTACGCCCGGAATGAAGGCCGTGACAGGCAAGCCTGAGGGCCTTGGCAGACACTGAAGCTGCTTCCCTTCCTGTCCCCGCCCACCCCAGTCCAGGGGAAAGTCAGTGTGATCAAAACAGGCCCTGGAGAGCAGCTGGAAGTCCTTGAAATTCAGCAGGTAGGCAGCCTGTCTCCAGACGGCAGTGGAACCATAGACGTCTGATTCTGCTTTATTTTTATTTTTTCCCAGCACAAAAATGAAAGTCCATTCTTTATTTCAGTGTTAAGAAAGCTCTTACGTGGTGAAGGGTATTACAAATTACATAGTAAAATCCTGGTACTAGGTGGAATTTTAGAAAAATGTTTTTCTTTTTTTTTCTTTATTTTTTAAGATATTACATATGTGTCCTTATTCCTCCATTGTCCCCCCATCACCCCCTCCCTCATGCCCTCACCCCCCTGGTGTCTATGCCCATTGGTTAGGCTTATCTGCATGCATACCAGTCCTTTGGTTGATCTCTCCCTCTTACACTCACCCTTTCCTACCTTCCCTCTGAGGTTTGATGGTCTGATCAATGCTTCTCTGTCTCTGGATCTGTTTTTGTTCATCAGTTTATGTTGTTCATTATATTCCACAAATGAGTGAGGTCATTTGGTATTTATCTTTCTCTGACTGGCTTATTTCACTTAGCATAATGCTATCCAGGCCCATCCATGCTGTTGCAAATGGTAAGAATTCCTTCTTTTTTACATCAGCATATTATTCCACTGTGTAGATGTACCACAGTTTTTTAATCCACTCATCTGTTGATGGGCACTTAGGCTGTTTCCAGATCTTAGCTATGGTGAATTGTGCTGCTATGCACATAGGGGTGCATATATCCTTTCTGATTGGTGTTTCTAGTTTCTTGGGATATATTCCCGGTGTTTCTAGTTTCTTGGGATATATTCCCAGAAGTGGGATTTCTTTTAGATTGCACTAGGTTTTTATTAATGTGACCTGGGTCTTCGACTAGTACAGCAAATACACATGCCACGTGCAGAAGCACTTCAGGAGTGGGAGTGAGCATGCCTTCATGCCAGTAGCCTTTATGTTCTCACATAAAAGCTAATGTTGGAATTTGATTATTTTCAACCAAAGGGCCCCACAGGGTATCAGAACCACAGGGGAGTTTTAAAAAGTACTTGCCACTCCACCTCCCCTTTCAGACTCTAGGAAGGACATTTAATGATTTAAAGGCAAGGTCACAAGCGGGTCACTTTTCAGTGGACTCTAAGCTGACATCTTTTCCTTCGGCCAGTGAAGAATGTGTGTGTTTTTACAACTACATTTGCATTCTTCCTGGCAAGGCCGAAAGCTCCCATTTATTAAAATCTTTTTAATAATATATTTTTTATTGATTTCAGAGAGAAAGGGAGAGGGAGAGAGAGAGAAACATCAATGATGAGAGAGAATCATTGATCATCTGCCTCCTGCACGCCCCACACTGGGGATAGAGCCCACAACCCGGGCGTGTGCCCTGACCAGAACCGTGACCTCCTGGTTCATAGGTTGACAATCACTGAGCCATGCCGGTTAGGCTATTATGATC